CCTTAGGGATTGATCAATGCTGGTAGCTTCATCCTTGATCCTTGTGTATGGCTCTGTATTAGCTCTCTCCATGATGCAGAACTGTCAGGTAAAAAGTTCTATACAGTTGAATCCTTTTGTGCCAAAAGAGCGATGTGTTTTTTGCATTTTAAATGACGTCTTGTTTCATAAAAAAAGTTCCAGGTAAACTGAATACAGTGCCATTCTGCCCATGAAGAGTGATCCAAGGGTATTTTGTAAACATCGCCCAATTGCTTACTGAGTATACGTTACAAGTTCTTTCAAAACAAATCATATCACATATATCAACGTTTGGTCAACAGATTATTCAAACTAATAAAAAGAGATGTCTAGTTAATGCTGCTGTGATCCACAAAACAGCAAAGCTTCGTGTGCTTCATGAATCTTTCGCTCTCAAGTTTATAAACTACATATTTAGTGAAACTTTATTATGGGATTACAAAGTTTTTATCTGTTTTTGTACTGAATAATTTGTCTCTACTATAACCGAAGCTTCCTAATCTTAGTACTTAAATTATGCGGTTTATGCCAGGTGACATGAGCTTTTTTTATCTAACTGAGATTATCACCCACGAAGCTGTGTAAAACTTCGGAGAACTGCACTTATGAGATACGATGAGACATCTTTGAGTTCAGTATACATATCGATAATCAGGCGGTTAATTAAATGATGCTCTTTCCTGAGTAACATTTGTAAATTTAGTTTGAAATCCATTGCTTATCTCTGAGGATTTGTACAAACGATACATGTGCTTGTGGCGTTAACGTCTAGTCAAAATTACCATCACTTTTCTTTCGTTCATCATCCGCCGAATTTCTTCTTTTTGTTTAGTCGACATATTCATCCACTGTTTTCAATTCGTCTTCGGTGTGTTTTTAACTTCATATTGAAGTTGCATGGATTGTCTATCGAAGTCCAAAGTTGAGAAGCTAACTCAATCTCGTGTGTGCTTACAGTATTTCACAACACATTCCAAGCAATCTGCGTGGAGCGCAAAAATCTCACCTTTACGGCTTGTTTGGACATCTTTTAGGCAAAAGTGTATCCCTAGAACTATGGCCTTTTTAAACATCGGTTTTCATAGAAAGGTGTGTTCTCCGTGATCGAAAAACCATACATTTCGGATCGTTCGCAAAGCCCTAGCACTTTCTTGATTCTGAGTCTTTTTTCAAATTATTTGCACTCCTGTCTTCTTCACTTCACTAAGATCTTTGGACAATCTCCCATTTATTATATCTCCTGGAAAGCTCGTTATGTCGTCCGCAAAGGTTAGCATTGAGAAGAGCTGTCTCAATTATTATGGTGTGTTCGTTGTCCTCGATAGCTAACAATATCCCCATATAAGAATAACTGTTCCATTATACTAAGCAATAGACGTGGATTTGCTGACTATATCAAAACCTCATTATGTTTCACCTCTGATGGGTAAAAGGATATAAACACGAAACTCCTAGCATTGGTCTGTCTCTGATAGATACTATTGTCGTGAAATGTTAGAGAGATTCATATTTGGCCTGTACAATGAAATCAGGAGCCCATCGATGTATCACGTCGGTGTGACAATTCTCGCGGACAAGTATCAATGCGTGGACCATAAAAAGGTACGCGGCTTGATGAAAGGGCGTGTGATCGAACTGGCTGACCGCGTGTGGGTAACACAGCTTCTATTATAGCGGTACCAGATGCTCCTTCCAAATTATTCATGTTTAGCATTTGTTCATGTCAACTTGGCATCCCAAGGTTGTTGTGAGATATGTATAGAATAAGAAAGCGCATTTTGCCAATCGCTCTGAAATATTAGAAAAGGCTGATTTTGCCGTTTATGAGATGTTGTTACGCCAACATACGTTGCGGCGATCTCGTTCGCCTCGTAAATACCGTACGCTCCTATACCCTTACTACATTTCAAGAAGAGTTGCGGAGCAGGTTGATAAGACCTGGCTGAGTGAAATCGTGCCTGAATCTTTGTTATGTTATAAGTAAATATTTTATGTCGTTAAAAGTAGGAAAATAATAATAAAAATACAATTGAAATATTACAATAGTACATTTAATGCGCTCCCACATTGAGGGTCAGAGATGCAGAGGAGGTAGATCCACGGTCCCGGAAAGGGTTATTGACAGCCACGTTCCATCGACTGCAAAAAAATGGCAACCACGTGACGCAACTCAATAAAACAGGACCGTCATTTACTAGGTCTTATCAATCGGCGCTATTCCTTCTTACTATAATATGTAGCGTAGTTGGTGGGGCATGTGGTACTGACTAGGGGACAAGATCGTGGAAGCGTACGCAAGCAATTGGCATAGCAAAACATCGAAAATGGCTAGAATCAGCCCTCTTTGACCTTATTCATATACATTCGAAACGTCAAGGTATGTAAAAAAGAATGGAATCAAAATAATCACTTTCAGATGACTTTTTTCAGTGGAAACGAATATGCGAATTTGTTTTGCTTGACACACGCCGTGTAAGAATGTTCACTCTAAATGATCTTCCTGATGAGGTGAGTCCACTGCTTAATTCAAGTACGTCTTCAATTCGATGCTCTTATAGTTATAGTTTATATGTGTATAGGAGTTATAGAAGTCATGGTACAAGGAGCTTCTAGCGCTCACAAAAGCTTATTTGCAAGCAACTCCGCTGTTCGTCTTCGGGATCGGGAATAGCATGAGCAGCTCAGATACAGAGCTGTGGAGTTCATCAGGACATGAATAGCAGCGGACAGAGCACTGTGAATTCTTACAACGCCTCCAAATGGTCTTCATCATCTAAACTGCATTATTACATTGATTTTATGCATTGCATGTAGTACACCACACATTTAAAGTTCTTTATTTTATGAAAACTAAATTTTTCGTAAAGGAAAATTTGATTTTTTAGTGATAGATGTTATTATATACTCTACACTGTACTATGCTATATTAAAGCATAAAGGAGAAAGCTCTCAGCGTTTGCCAATTCCTGAAGGGTGCACCGTGAATTCGTTTTCAATTTTGACCTCGTTTGAGGTGATTAAATGCATATCTGGTTTTTACAATGTGTATGGATGGCTTGGTGAGCCATGAGCGCGAGTTCAAACCGTTGGACTTGCGTGCGAAGCAGAACACCTCAAACCACTGCGTCACAGGCGCTCTTGTATATTGCATTGTTACTTCAAATGTCTGTAACTTTTCTTTCGTTTCGAGTGTTTTCTTAAGACCACAGCTCAAATTTCAATATGCCTGATAATCATTATTTGAGCCACGCACGTCAGTGGTCTGTCAATGAGGGCTGACTTATAGAGCCCGATACACGTGTTTCGATCTTGCGATCTCGTCAGTCGGGCAGTTACCCTTTCTCGTCTTTTGCACTCACCAAACACAGAGTGTTGTACACTCGAATTAAATATACTAGCCACGAGCATTCGAGTGTACAACACTCTGTGTTTGGTGAGTTCTTCACTGGACATAGAGTGTAAAACGTACGTCGTCGCTAACTCTTATTGTAGGGACTGGAGCACCCACAGAGATTAGCAAAAGACGAGAAAGGGTAACTGCCCGACTGACGAGATCGCAAGATTGAAACACGTGTATCGGGCTCTATAAGTCAGCCCTCATTGACAGACCACTGACATGAGTGGCTCAAATAATGATTATCAGGCATATTGAAGTCTGTAACCTTTTTGTGTGGTGTTTAAGAGTCGTATGGAGAATCGATATGAAATTTGACCAACTCCCATCTTTACTAGATATTTATGCGCCGTGATACAAAAGTTTGCCATTTCACTTCCAGAGGAGTTAACCTACTTTTACTAGCTGTTCAGTGGTAATTTCTACTAAGCACGTCATCATTTGATGCTAAGATTGCCTATGCTGAAACTCAAGCTCAACATTACGAATTGAAACGTATTTAATGAAAGTGAAGTGATGCTGGTTTAAGAAAGTCCGCCTCAGCGGCGGTTCAGTGGCTTGAATTTTAGGATTTGTTGTGAGCGCACGACCAGCAGTGGCTTTATCACCTCAAACTTTGGTAATAATACCTTCATCTACATAGCAACATTATTAACACGAGCGATATTAACAGCAGTTAGGATCTGACGACATTAAATGTGCAAACAAATAACGGTGAGAAACTGCAATTGAGACAAATGGTGACTCAGTGGCTTTGTGTAGATGTTAAGAATGATGAGATTGCTATAATGAATAATGCAATAATACATTAATACAATATCATGTGAACTACAATCAATTCTCAGAATTGCGCAACCGTTGCAACAACTTGTAGACTGTGTCCTCTTGCTGCGTTATGGTATGCGTGCTCCTCATGTGGCGCATGTTGCCGTGAAGCTTTTCAACCCTGCGCAGCAACTTTTACAAGGCTCTGATGATCTCGTGGAAAGTGATCAAGTCTCGGAACAACGTGATGGCTACATAGTTCCCCGCGAGATAGCGACCATACAGCTCCGGCAGGTAGAGGATCATATTTTTCCTCATTTTTTTCTGCAGGTCGTTAGCCCTGAGTTGGGAGTGCTCTTTTCTGAGATCAGTTAAAAGCTGTCCTATGTTTGGGGTCCATTTCGGACCTGTTGTTCCCAAGGAGCATTTTTTGCTAGACATGGGCTGGGGGTCTTAAATTGAGCTTGCTGGTGGAGGGGAGGCTTTATGGGGCGAGGCAATTCTCCTATCATGTTGATCGTTAGGTGATGACACGACGGTAACGCTGTATCTCCACTGTTCTTTCCTTCTGTATTTATACTGTTTCCGATGGTACATTGGCGACCATTAATTCTTCTGATAACGCGGAATTACTCGATTCAAATATGGTCCACTCTCGATTCTGGTTCCACTTTCCTTAGCTTCCAACATTTGCTCGAGATAAGTTCTCAAACTATGTCTCGATATATGTGCGTCAATTGGCTATACGTTTACAGTATTCCCTTTGATGCAGAGCGATGTGCAAAACTTTAGAGCGTAGAAAGAGTGGTGTGCAAAACGGGCATCAGTAGTGCGACGGGTTAAAGCATACGTTCTCGGACAGAGTGAGGTGTGGGTTCAAATCCCGCCTGACGCGAAAGTTTTACACATCACTCAGCATCAAAGGGTATATTCAAAAGTTCATACAACAGCAAGAAGCGGTTAAAAGAATTCCATCTGATTCCAATATTACCTCATTTGTTGAAGGAGTTTAATGAATTGGAATAATTCATTCTTAGTCAATGGTCTATACGATTACAATTGACATGGTAGTGCATCTATGGTGTTAAACACCATTTTGTCGATATAGTTATATTTCTGTGCTAACATATCGTATTGATTGCTTTCAAAGCTATTTCCGTATTGTTTTGAAGCTATTCCCAAGAGCAACTATCAATTAACCTCGGCTTAGTAAGAACAGATCAGTAGCTTTTTTGCTTAGCAGTTCCGAGGTGTTAAATATAGTATTCATCAAATACAAGTGAAAAAAAAACAATACAATGAAGTGGTGCAGCATAAATAGTACTACAGCCGTGGAGGTTTAAGTTTCGGGGAGGTTCGCCATCTTCAAAGCCTCGAAAGGTCAAAGGAATATGCAAATCATAAAGTCGAAAGCCTCCATAACTAAATGATTTGCTAAAGAAATTTGAAAAATTTGACCTTTCCATGCTCTGAAGATAGCGAACCTCGCCGAAACGTTTGATAGCTCCTAGAAAATTCACATTATAAATTACAAACTTTATTACTTTCATTCAATAATGGTACAACAAAATACATATTACATACGTCATTACTCAGTCCATTATGAAAGAATCTGACATCAAACGGCAGTTTCTGAATCCTTGCATCGAACTCTGTCTAACGGGACTCTTATCATGGCTGAAACGTTTGAAATCTCCTAGCAAATTCATGTTATATATTACAAACTTTGTTAATCTTTTCTATGATTTTACAACAAATTCATATTCTAAACGTCATTACTCAGTCTGTTCTAAAAGAGTCTGGCAACCCAAACCATTTTCTGATTCACTGCATCGAACTCTATCTAACGGGGCTCTTATCATGGATGAAACGCTTGAAAGCTCATAGAAAATTCAAATCAAATATTACATACTTTCTTATTTTTTTATAATTTTACAACAAATTCATATTCTAAACGTCATTACTCAGTCTGTTCTAAAAGAGTCTGGCAACCCAAACCATTTTCTGATTCACTGCATCGAACTCTATCTAACGGGGCTCTTATCTGGCTGAAACGTTTGAAAGCTCATAGAAAATTCATATTAAATATTACATACTTTGCTAATTTATTCTATAATTTTACAACAAATTCATATTCTAAACGTCATTACTCAGTCTGTTCTAAAAGATCTGACAACCCAAACCATTTTCTGATTCCTGCATCGAACTCTATCTAACGGGGCTCTTATCTTGGCTGAAATGTTTGAAATCTCTTAGAAAATTCATATTGTATATTGCAAACTTTGTTAATTTCATTCTATAATGGAACAACAAATTCAACTTCCAAACGTCATTACTCAGTCTATTCTAAAAGAATCTGACAACCCACAGCAATTTCTGATTCCTTGCATCGAACTCTATCTAACGGAGCTCTTATCTTGGCTGAAACGTTTGAAATCTCTTAGAAAATTCATATTGTATATTGCAAACTTTGTTAATTTCATTTACATTGGCAAAAAATTATGTTCATACGTCATTACCAGTATCTTATAAAAGAACTGACAACCAAAGCATTTTCTGATTCCTTGCATCGAACTCTATCTAACGGGCTCTTATCTTGGATGAAACGTTGAAGCTCCTAGAAATTCATATAATATTACAACTTTGTACTTTATTCTATAAGACAACAATTCATTCAAGCGTCATTACTCAGTCTATTCTAAAAGAATCTGACATCCAGCAGCATTTTCTTATTCCTTGCATCGAACTCTATCTAACGGGGCTCTTACATTGGCTGAAACGTCTGAAATCTCCTAGAAAATTCATGTTATATATTAGAAACTTTGTTGATTTCATTCTACATTGGCACAAAAAATTTATGTTCCATAACGTCATTACCCAGTATCTTATAAAAGAACCTGACAACCCACAGCATTTCCTGATTCCTTGCATTGAACTCTATCTAACGGGGCTCTTATCTTGGCTGAAAGTGTTGAAAGCGCCTAGAAAATTGATATCAAATATTACATACTTTGATAATATTTTAAATAATTTTACAAAAATTCATGTTCTAAGCGTCATTGCTCAGTCTGTTCTAGAAGAATCTGACATCCAATAGCATTTCTGATTTCTTTCATCGAACTCTATCTAACGGGGCTCTTATCTTGGCTGAAACGTTTGAAAGCGCCTCGAAATTCATGTTATATATTAAACACTTTATTAATTTCATTCTGTAATGGTACAACAAATTCATGTTCTAAGCGTCATTACTCAGTCTGTTCTAGAAGAATCTGATATCCAATAGCACTTACTGATTTCTTTCATCGAACTCTACTAACGGGGCTTTTATCTTCTGGCTGAAACGTTTGAAAGCGACTCGAAATTCATGTTATATATTACACACTTTATTAATTTCATTCTATAATGTTACAACAAATTCATGTTCTAAGCGTCATTACTCAGTCTGTTCTAGAAGAATCTGACATCCAGTAGCACTTACTGATATCTTTCATCGAACTCTATCTAACGGGGCTCTTATCTTGGCTGAAACGTTTGAAAGCTCCTCGAAAATTCATGTTATATATTACATCTTTGTTAATTTCATTCTATAATATGTACAACAAATTCATATTCTAAACGTCATCACTCAGTCTGTTCTAAAGAATCTGACATCCAATAGCATTTTCTGATTCCTTGCATCGAACTCTATCTAACGGGGCTTTATCTTGGCTGAAACGTTTGAAAGCTCCATGAAAATTCATGTTAATATTACACGTTTGTAATTATTCTTATAATTTACAACAAATTCATATTCTAAACGTCATTACTCAGTCTGTTCTAAAGAATCTGATATCCAACAGCATTTCTGATACCTTGCATCGAACTCTATCTAACGGGCTTTAATCTTGGCTGAAACGTTTGAAACGCCTAGAAAATTCATGTTAAATATTACATACTTTGTTAATTTATTCTATAATTTTACAACAAATTCATATTCTAAACGTCATACTCAGTCTGTTCTTAAAGAATCTGACATCCAATAGCATTTCTGATACTTGCATCGAGCTCTATCTAAAGGGTCTTTAATCTTGGCTGAAACGTTTGAAAGCGCCTGAAAATTCATGTTAATATTACATACTTTGCTTAATTTATTCTATAATTTTACAACAAATTCATATTCTAAACGTCATTACTCAGTCTGTTCTAAACAATCTGACATCCAATAGCATTTTCTGATACCTTGCATCGAGCTCTATCTAACGGGCTTTATCTTGGCTGAAACGTTTGAAAGCTCCTGAAAATTCATGTTAAATATTACATGCTTTGTTGAATTTATTCTATAATTTTACAACAAATTCATATTCTAAACGTCATCACTCAGTCTGTTCTAAACAATCTGACATCCAATAGCATTTTCTGATACCTTGCATCGAGCTCTATCTAAAGGGCTCTTAATCTTGGCTGAAACGTTTGAAAGCGCCTAGAAAATTCATATTAAATATTACATGTTTTGCTAATTTATTCTATAATATTACAACAAATTCATATTCTAAACGTCATTACTCAGTCTGTTCTAAAACAATCTGACATCCAATAGCATTTTCTGATACCTTGCATCGAGCTCTATCTAACGGGCTTTAATCTTGGCTGAAACGTTTGAAAGCGCCTAGAAAATTCATGTTAAATTTACATGTTTTGCTGAATTTTTCTATAATTTTACAACAAATTCATATTCTAAACGTCATCACTCAGTCTGTTATTAAAGAATCTGACATCCAATAGCATTTTCTGATACCTTGCATCGAGCTCTATCTAAGAGGCTCTTAATCTTGGCTGAAACGTTTGAAAGCGCCTAGAAAATTCATATTAAATATTACATGCTTTGCTGAATTTATTCTATAATTTTACAACAATTCATATTCTAAACGTCATTACTCAGTCTGTTCAATAAGAGTCTGACATCCAATAGCATTTTCTGATACCTTGCATCGAGCTCTATCTAACGGGCTGTTAATCTTGGATGAAACGTTTGAAAGCGCCTGAAAATTCATGTTAAATTTTACATGTTTTGTTGAATTTTTTCTATAATTTTACAACAATTTCATATTCTAAACGTCATCACTCAGTCTGTTATGAAACAATCTGACATCCAACAGCATTTTCTGATACCTTGCATCGAGCTCTATCTAGCGAGGCTCTTAATCTTGGCTGAAACGTTTGAAAGCGCCTAGAATATTCATATTAAATATTACATACTTTGCTAATTTATTCTATAATTTACAACAATTTCATATTCTAAACGTCATTACTCAGTCTGTTCAATACAGATCTGACACCCAACAGCATTTTCTGATACCTTGCATCGAGCTCTATCTAATCGGGCTGTTAATCTTGGATGAAACGTTTGAATACGCCTCGAAAATTCATGTTAAATTTTACATACTTTGTTGAATTTTTCTATGATTTTACAACAATTTCATATTCTAAACGTCATCACTCAGTCTGTTATGAAAGAATCTGATGTCCAACAGCATTTTCTGATTCCTTGCATCGAACTCTATCTAACGGGCTCTGATCTTGGCTGAAATGTTGAAAACGCCTAGAAAATTCATATCAAATATTACATACTTTGCTAATTTATTCTATAATTTACAACAAATTCATATTCTAAACGTCATTACTCAGTCAGTTATAAAAGAATCTGACATCCAAAGCATTTTCTGATACCTTGCATCGAACTCTACCTAGCGGGGCTATTAGTCTTGGTGAAACGTTTGAAAGCTCCAGAAAGTTCATCTTAGATACTACATACTTTGCTAATTTATTCTAGTATTTTAAAACAATTCATATTCTAAACGTCATACTCAGTCTGTTCTAAAGAATCTGACATCCAACAGCATTTTCTGATACCTTGCA